GTGATCAAGCCCAGCACTTCTCAGAGAAGAGGGGGCCCTTGGCCTGATGGTATGGCCTGTGCACAGCATCCCCCCAGGGCCTGGGCTTGCCCAGAATGAACTGACCTCATCAAGACTTTAGATCAGACTTTCAGCAGACGGGTAATACAAAGGATGGAAGAAATTAACCCGGAAGAAAAAGACAAGTTCAGAGTACCATGACATCATCATAGGTCACTGCAACTTTATTTTTATTTATTTATTTATCGAGACAGAGGCTTACTTTTTTGCCCTTGGTAGAGTACAGTGGCATCATAGCTCACAGCAACCTCAAACTCTTGGGCTCAAGCAATCCCCTTGATTGATGATGATGTCTCACTCTACTTGGGGCATCAAAGTGAGACTTTAAAAAAAAAATTCCTTTTTGTCATCAAAGAGTATTTGTGCCAAGGTGTAGAATAGAGAGAAGGGATTTTTTTTTTTTTTTTATTGAGACTGTTTCACCTAGTTGCCCTTGGTAGAGTGCTGTAACATCACAGCTCACAGCCACCTCAGACCTCTTGGGCTCAAGCGATTCTCATGCCTCAGCCTCCCTAGTAGCTGGGACTACTGGTGCCTGCCACAATGTCTGGCTATTCTTTTTGTTTGTTTTGTTTAGCAGGCCCAGGCCAAGTTCAAACCCACCAGCCCCATGTGACTGGCGCCCAAACCACTGAGCTATGGGCACCCCCTGAGAGAAGGATTTTATTCTGAAGGGAATAATAGGTGACAGGGAAATGCACCTCTTTGCCAACCTTCCTGGGGGTTAAAGCCTTAAATACCAAATAGTGTCTAGATTGTGGTTCAGTTCTTGCCCCTTCCCTGATGTCTGCTGAAATATTGTGGTGACAATGATTCCTCATCTTTGTCTTGCTTTTGTACTTTCCAAGGATTTTGAGCCTCATTTCCTCTTGCTCCTCGGAAGACTTGAATTAAGTAACTGCATCTAAAAAGGTGTATGGCTTGCCCAGGGACACACAGTGAGAAGAGCTGCATCCCACACCGAGGGGTCACTATTCCCCATAGGCTAGGCCTGCCCTGGTGGGTCACATTAGCTCCCAGCACCTGCCTTGGCTTGGTGCCTATGCGAGTGGTGGGGCCAGACACCTGCACCCACACCGCTGAGTGCAGACACGTGAGCACGAGAGGCTCTGCACTGGCGGTAGACCAGGAAGCTAGCCTTTTCACCAGAAATTTGATGTCCTGAGCATTCGTGGATCAAGAAAGCACTCGTGGATAAGGCTGATGCCACTGTCAGAACCTGAAAGCAAGTTCCTGGTATTAGCCTGCAAACCATTGTTCTGTGGCTGGTCTCGGAGCTTCTCCTCTGTGAATAAAGTGAGGAGGAGGAAGAGGGTACTGTTGGGAAGGGGCAAAAACTCCCGCAAAATTGAGGCCATCAGATAGAGTTGCTGTTTGTTCTGTGGAGCTGCTCAGGTAGCCAGCGTCTGGCATGGAGCCCTCCCTTTCCTGGAACTGCCAGTCCTGGAACTGTCCCCTCCCACTGTGCACCATGCAGATAGCTCTGTTCCTGTGGGTGGGAAAATAATCCCCAAGGTAGCGTCCCCCACGGTGGGGGTGGGTGGGGGTGATCTCTGGTTCCCATAGGCTGCCTTCTCCCCAGTTGCCGATTTCCAGCAAATTGAAATCTGGGTGATGTCCCAACCTTTAGAAGTTTATCTCTTTATGTTTGTGTCTTTTTTTTTTTTTTTTTTTGAACAGAGCCTCAAGCTGTCCCCCTGGGTAGAGTACCGTGGCATTACAGCTCACAGCAACCTCCAACTCCTGGGCTCAAGCGAGTCT